ACAAATTTTTCAGCCGCTTGTTTGTCAGAACTAGAACCCTCACCATGCCTTACAACACTGTATATGTCACTTAGCTTTTTGAATTTTTCAAACCAGCCTTTGCTGGCCTTAAATTCACCAACTCATTTCAGGCAGTTTCTTTACGAGATCACCATGCAACTGCCTTGCTTTTTCACAAATTATTGACTGCACAACACTATCTTCTGCTAACTCTTTCTCTCTGATCCACACCAACAACAATTTCTTCACTTCTTCATTTGTTTGGGATCTCTGTTTGGTTATCGCATTCACTCCTTTCGAAACATCAGCTTCCATGATTTTTTTCTCTTTGCCACAGTGGAGCTGATCATTGATGGCGCCTTCCCATACGTCCTGCCAAGTTCAGCAATGCGTATGCCACTTTCATATTTTTGAGTGATTTCTTTTTTCATTTCTATGGTGTTCCTCACTTTCTTTACCAAAGGACTGGCACTAGGAGCTTTTTTTGGAGCCATGGTGGCTTATTTAGCAGTCACACACAATAACAAGTGCCAAAAACAATGGATTATTATGAAATGTTTCGTATGACCTGGCAGGATATGTTCACTCACCGAGAAACAACGCAACACTGCTTGAGAATGCGTGTGGGCGGCGGCTTTGTCTGCATGGTGGACACTGGACAGGTTCCGTACCAGCGACGAAAATGGAGGAAATCGATGAAAACGAAACCAAAATATCGATGAAAAAAGGTGACGAAAACGAAAATCGGTGATAATGGAGATCGACGAAAAGGGAGGGCCCACTGTATTAGTATTATTACTATGGCGTTGAGACTAGAGGAACACTCTTAGTGAACGAGTAACAAAGGCAGACTGAGTCACGAACATATGAGCGCTGCTTCCCGCGGGCAGGCAGATGTGTCTGATACAGATGATTTCCGAGTGGTTGTATGAAAACGGGGAAAATTTCACTGAAAAAAGTGGTCAAAAACTAAATTGTAAGATAATCAAACTGGTTGAAAACTGGGGTTCCACTGTATAAAGTTTTTTTTTACAATGGACTACAAGTTTATTATGTTGTAGGGTCAGCCCTCACATACTAACAAAATTCCATGCCTACACCCACTGGGAAAAGTCACATTATGAATCATGTTGCTAAATATCAGATGGAAAAAATATTTCCACAATTTATGTACATTAAATGTAGAAATAAATTTATTTTGTATTTTTTCCAAAATATGAATATCAGATTTATATTGTAAATGGGTTTTATGCATTGTTTCATTGGTAAATGAAACACATATTGAGAGTCCGTTGTTCAATCCCTGGCAGGGGTAGAAACGTTGGGCGTGTTTTCTTATATCTGCTGCTGCTGTTCACTTTGCAGTACGTAGGTAGCCGGATGTTAGTTGGCTGTTGTGGGTCACGTCCCAAGGGGTGGTAGTATATAAACAAGTTTATTTCTATAAAGTGCGTTACTGTGCAGTATGACATGTATAAACTATAGAAAGGCCTTTGTTATGCAAGGCATTTTTGGGCAGCCTTAAAACTAATTACACAGTGAAAGACATATAGTACATGAGAATGAGAATATTTAGTTTATACTATGCTGAAGGTATTCAGTAATTTAATCAGAATTATTATGAAGGATACATTAAGGATGAAGGTAGGTAAAACTAGGTAGCTTTAGGTAGGGCTGGGCTTTGAAGTGAGCTGAGGTAGGATAATAACTTTTAGCCTGTGAAACTGATCTGTGTAAAAAAAAAAAAATAGAATTTTGGAGAAATACAACAGTATAAGAAAAAATGTACTGGGAGGTTCTCAAGAGAACAAAGCTTTAAACATTTACATTTTTTGTTTTTTTATCATGCTGGCTATCTCCCATTGAGGAAAGGGGACCCACAAAAGAAACACTTTCACCATCATTCATACTATCACTGGTATATTATTACTGCATTCATTTGAAGCTTTTAACCCATAGAGGTCAGAAGCACCTTGGGAACTGGAAGGTAATCAGGTTTGATACAGGAAAAGTACAATTCCTCTGATCAAGAGCCCTCCAACCACCACCATTAGCATCAAGGCACCTTCCCTGAGGGGTTTACATAGGGTATCTAATCACTTTATATGCCATTTCATAAGTAAATATTTGCAAACCTGTTTGGTTGCTCATTAATGTAAGTTATTCAGAACAGTGGAAAGTGAGATTTAGAAACATTCATTTGACCCTTTCACTGTCCGGACTTCCATAATTAATGTTGGTCTGTTTCTGCATTTAAAAAAAAAAGTTAATTTTATTTCTGAAATGTTAGAGAATTTTTTCTGAAGTTAATGACACCAAAAGTACAAAATTGGGTGGAAAACATATGGAATTGTGCAGACACAAAGTTTGTGGTCTGGGCGCAATTTATGCATTGGCTATTTTGCCCACTTTGAGTCCTATTGTAAGCTAGTTCCAGTGCTCCATTTAACCAAATTCTTAGCTATTTCACTAATATATCTTCTGTTCTATCAACTGAGCACAAAAACTGACCATTCAACTATCAGAACTACCCTATAAAATTCACAGAATTTGGTAATTTGGTCTATTTTATACAACATTAAAAATATTCGTTAAAAAAAAAATGTCCAAAATAAACACTGTAGACATTCTAGGCACTTAAACAACATTTCCTCTGTTCATTACTCACATCCCCATGCCTCTCCCATATTACATTTGCCCTACATTTTGAGTTCATCATCCCATAAAATGAAAAATGAAGAGTTACCCTATTTCTTGGATAATGTAACCAGGAATGATTGGTCATGCTTTATGGCATCCAGTAATTGAATCAGAACTATTAAAAACCCATAAACAGACCATCTCCATGGGAAAGTAGTACAGAATTCTTCCTCCATAAGCCATGCATGTTGTAAGAGGCGACTAAAATGCCAGGAGCAAGGGGCTAATAACTCCTGTATATATTACTGAATTTAAAAGGAGAAACTTTTGTTTTTTCTTTTGGGTCACCCTGCTTCGGTGGGATACAGCTGGTTTCTTGAAAGAAGAAGAAAACAGACCATGGGCTGTAAGGGAGACCTTTCCTGCCCTCAGGATAATCAATAAAAATAAAATGTTTCTGCTACGTTTAGCTTGATTTCAAACCAACCAAAATTATCTCTATTTCAATCATATATCTCTCATTCTGTTAAATAATACCAAGAAACAGCCAATAAAACCATAAAGCTATCCTAGAAAACACCTCCAAGTCACTATTTTAAACCAAACATAATTTCAGAGTTTTGCATTTTGCATCATGTACCACTTGGGGCAGAATCTTTTTTATTTACTGCTTGCAGTTTGAGGAGCTGTGCTCAAAAATGTAGATCTACATGAGGAACCTTGGTATCAGTAACATAGATCTACATGATGGCCACTGAAAGGGCAGGGTGAGCCAAAAAGAAAGAAAATCCCCAAAACAAAAATACTTTCATCATCATTCAACACTTTCACCTCACTCATACATAATCACTGTTTTTGCAGAAGTGCCCAGATACAGCAGTATAGAAGCATATATAAAGATACAATATAAAAAGTGACCTGAAATAATATAAGAAACCCCATATAGAATACATGTATAATATCAGGGCCCCAATTATATATGTACCATCCTATTATACATCCCTCCAAACTGCCAATATTCCAAACCCCTCCTTTAAAGTGCAGGCATTGTACTTCCCATTTCCAGAACTCAAGTCCGGCTATATAAAAATTACCGGTTTCCCTGAATCCCTTCACTAAATATTACCCTGCTTACACTTCAACAGCTCGTCAGGTCCCAAAAACCATTCTTCTCCATTCACTCCTATCTAACGCTTGCTGGAAGTCCAAGCCCCTCACCCACAAAACCTCCTTTACCCCGTCCCTCCAACCTTTTCGAGGACGACCCCTATCCCACCTTCCTTTCCCTACAGATTTATATGCTCTCCATGTCATTCTACTTTGATCCATTCTCTCTAATTGACCAAACCACCTCAACGACCTCTCTTCAGCCCTCTGACTAATACTTTTATTAACTCCACACCTTCTCCTAATTTCTCTGCATAATATTTACACTACACATTGCCCTTAGGACATCTCCACTGCCTCCAACCACCTCCTTGCTGCAGCATTTACAACCCAAGCTTCACACCCATATAAGAATGTTGGTACCACTATACTTTTGTACATTCCCTTCTTTGCCTCTATTGATAACATGTTTTTCCCTCATCAATTCTATGGTTAACCTCATCCTTCACAAATCCATCTGCTGACACATCAACTCCCAAATATCTGAAAACGTTCACTTCTTCCATACTCCTTCTCTCCAATGTGATATCCAATTTTTCTTTATCTAAATCACTTGATACCCTCATCACCTTACTCTTATCTATGTTCTCTTTCAACTTCTTACCTTTACACACCCTCTGAAACTCGTTCACTTAACTTTGCAACTTTTCTCTAGAATCACCCATAAGCACAGTATCATCAGCAAAAAGTAAATGTGTCAATTCCCATTTTGTATTTGATTCTCCATAATTTAATCCTACCTCTCTCCCCAACACCCTAGCATTTACTTCTTTTACAACCCCATCTATAAATATATTAAACAACCATGGAAACATTACACATCCCTGTCTAAGACCTACTTTTACCGGGAAGTTGTCTCCCTCTCTTCTACACACCCTAACCTGAGCCTCACTATCCTCATAAAAACTCTTTACAGCATTTAGTAACTTACCACCTATTCCATATACTTGCAACATCTGCCACATTGCTCCCCTATCCACTCTATCATATGCTTTTTCTAAATCCATAAATGCAATAAAAACTTCCCTACCTTTATCTAAATACTGTTCACATATATGTTTCAATGTAAACACTTGATCTACACATCCCCTACCCACTCTAAAGTCTCCTTGCTCATAAATAAATAAATATATATATGCTGTAAATGTATTAATGATATTCTTAAAGAACCTGATGAGCAAAACAAATTACAGGTGGCTAACAAGAAAGTTAGAAGAGGTTTGAAAGGTCGTGGATCAGTGAACAAATTACCTGTTTTGAAACTTATTGGTAGATCAACAACCAAACTCACTGACGAATATCTTAATGGTTCCCTGGAGGATCATTTTGGGGAGGATGAAAGTGAAGGGTTTGCAGATTTTGGAGATGAAGATATAAGAAGTCATCTGAAATTACAAGATAAGATACCTTCTGGCATGAAGAGGTAATGGTTTTAATGTTTTAAAAGTTTCTTGCTCATCTCTGGAGGATAGACATATTATGCTTTGTATAATTATGTATACAGTGTAATATGTATATTGAAATGTATATACCATGCAGTACTGATGTCTAAAATTATATGATCATGGATTACCAGTCTGATGCTTTATTTTATTTGTTACAGGCTTTCAACAAGAAAACGAACTGTAAGGTGTTATCTCTGTGAGAGAATGTTTCATAGTGTGCGTGAACTGATGGCCCATATGCGAACAGATCAACCATACTCGGACCAACGTGTTGAGTGTAAGAAATGCCAGCTGGTTTTGCCAAGTGTGTGTGCAGCTAAAGCTCATATCCTTACACACCCACCAGCTAATACTTCCAATATGTCTGTGTGCCCAGAGTGTGGTAGCAGATGTGATGGACCAAGAGAATTTGTACACCATCTTAATACATGCGGGCACCAGTTTCGCCGCTCAGGCATTGTATGTACAGAATGTCAGGTGTGTTTCTTTAAGTCACAAGATGATTTCTTGACACACTGGATTGCCGAACATTGTGCTAAGTCCTATGAATGTGTTGTGTGTCGCAACACGTTCGAGAGCTTAGTGTTTCACAAATGCACGTCACCAGGGCAACAAGTTTTGGCTACATTCCGCTGTCTTTTAACGTGTCCTCTTTGCTCACTTGCAGTTCAACTACATGCACAAGAAGAGCGTGATACAAATGCAAAGATCAGAGCTCACTTAGCTGATGCTCATCCTACCATAATAACTCGAGTTCACTATGTTTATAAATCTAAATTTTGTACAAATGCTTTTCGCTCTAAAGATGAGCTAAGAGCACATCATGATCGTGAGCATCGTCGAGACAACCACTACCGCACAAAAACTTGCACTTTACATCATGAAGTCTTAGGCTATCAACATCAATATTTTAATGGACAGGAGCCTAGGAATGCATTTGTAACATTGCCAGTAGCTTTAAGTGCTGAAGAATTGCATGAGGCACGAATAAGGGATGTTCCTACTGTTAGTAGTGTCATTGACAAAACTCTGTTTCCGGACTTAACTCTTCAAGACAGCGTAAAAACTGGAAAAATTGAGAAACAAATTAAAAATAAAGTTTTAAACAAAAGTTCTCCAAAGGAAGTCGATCCTAAGGATACTTCAGGGAAAGAAAGTCCAGCCAAGAAAGACATGGATCAATTGGATAAGTTACGACCAAAAGTTTGTTACCGTTGTGGATATAAATATGCAGACAATAAAGACTTTAGACGGCATAAACGAACATGTGAAGGAGAGTCTGCAGAGCGGCATTGTCAGGTTTGTGGTATGGCTGCTGTTGGTGAAGACTTTGCACGCCATTGTCTTGGTCATATACAAGATGGTGCTGTCTTGTGTATATATTGTAATGGCACTCAGTTCAACAATTCTAGTGACTTGGAGCAGCACTTTGAGCTACATGTGCACGAGCAGTTTTTTTACCCAGCTATTTGTGCATTTTGTTGTACCTCATTACCAGACGTGGCAACAGCTTTAGCACATCTAAATGAAGAGCATGATCCACTTCATGTTCCATTTGACACTTCAGAATTTGAGTGTGACCGTTGTGGTCGTCGTTTCCACGGCGAAAGAGGTTTAAGTGTTCATTTGGGACGTTGTACACTTGGAACAGCAACGCCTACTCCATCTGCTGGATGCCGGCAGTGCCAAGTGTGTACTAAAGCTCTTACGCCCGAAATGTTTGGCCGCCATCTGGTTTGTCACTTGGAGGAAGGGTTGTTGGTGTGCAGTTTGTGTGATGGGCGTACTTTACCTTCTAGTATGGCCCTCTTGCATCACTTAGAGGAACATGCAGCTGCTTTGGCATACCCAAATTCTTGCCCTATGTGCAGCTTTGTAATGCAAGATGCAGACTCAGCACTTAGTCACCTCAAAGAAGAACATGGCTTTGGAAATTTACACTGTGCTGAGTGTGATATGCATTTCAACTTTACTTACCAGCTTCAGCGTCACACAGACATAGTTCATAAGATATGCCAGTATGCTAAACGACGGTACATCTGTTGGATTTGTAGAGCTTATGATCATGTAAAGAAAGAAACACTCATGAACCACTTTCGGACAGTTCATGGACTTGATCGAGAGCAAGTGGATGAGAAGGTCATGATCAGAACACGTGGCCAAGGGACTATGCCAACGTCACAGTTTATACCCACTAAACCCCTTGGTAGCAAAGAGAATCCAGGGATTTCCTCAGCAAGTAAATCGGATTCAGAGAACATGCTTTTCAAAGCTCAGAAGGAGAAAACAAAAGGCTCACCAGGCAAGTCTTCTTCCACAAACGAATCACTAAATAAGCAGTCAAACAACGTATCTTCACAAGAATCACCAGTTAAAAGTTCGCCCAACAAGCCTGTTTCTTCTCTGGTTCTTAAAAAGGTGTCAGCAAAGAGATCGGATGTAAGATTAAAAGACAAAACAAAAGTGTTGATTAAAAGGTTTCCCGATTCCATTCTAGATGAGCAGTCCAGGTCAAAGAGAAGAAAGATCTTAAGTGATGATTTACAAATTGACCCTGAGAGTGATGTGAAGAAAGAAGTGAAAAAAAGGAAAAAAAAGAAAGCTCATAGGTGTAATATTTGTAATTTTGGCACCAATTCAAAAGAGAAGTTCGACAATCACATCTTAAAGCATAAAGAACTTGGGGAAGATGGTGAATCTGATGGATTTGTTTGTCATGAATGTGGTGCTTCATTTGTTGTAGAGCCGTCTCTTACTCGTCACATGTTTTTCGCTCACAAAGTGAAACTTCATGTATCTAGTGCTGATGAAAATGAAGACAATGACAACATTGTTAGTGATTTACAAAGAACAAAAACTTTAGTTAAAGAACCAAAAAATATAAAAGAAAAAGAAAATGAAATAACTACTAATGAGATGAAAGAAGAGAAAGTTATTCAAATAGAAAAAGAGCCACCAACTATAAAATATGTGAACGATATTAATACCAAAAGAAAGACGGTGAGAATAACGACAAAAAAGAAAATTGAAAAAGAAGCAGTTAAAAAGCAGTTGGAAGTAAGAACAAAGATAAAAGTTGAAGGTATAATTAGAAAGAAAGAAGCAAAGGCCATAACAAAGAAAAAAGTAGAAAAAGTGATAAAGAAAAAGCTGGTGAAGGTTACACCAAGACAAAGAAGGGCAAAAGAGGTAAGCAAAAGGAAAATAGAGAGAGCATTATTAGGTAAAAGCTTGGAGGAAGATGATGATATATTTGACAATCAATGTGTAGTTTGCAAGGAGGAGTTTGTAAATCCAGTCGAACTGTATAGTCACTTAAGAACTCACGGTATGGCGTTTCTCAAACTAGGGCGTAAAGCCAGACCTCTCGGTCTGGGCAAACCTGATCAATAGGATAGACGTCCTGTTTCAGAATCAGGTTAATAATACAAATACTCTATAGGTTTGAAGGATCAGTCAGTGCTCAATGTTGCAGTTAAATGTGATTGATTCTAGTGAAAGTGGTTTTGATTAAAAATTCTAATTGTTATTTCATTTAATGTTTTGTGGCTGTATACTGTAGTTGTATGAGGTACAAAATTTCTTATGAGTAATTTCCAGCCATTTAACTTACCACAACATTGTCATTTTTATTTTAAAGCTATTTTGACTTTTTAATAATAAATATAATGAAATAATGCATAAGAATTATGTCTTACTGTTTACAGCAGGATATAATTAAACCTGGAATTTCCAGTGGTACTTGACACCATACATATGGTTTCTATATAAAAACTGTCCAAGTAATTATAAAGTTGTAGTCTCTGTGTTCACATATTACGGTGTGTCTTTTACTAAATAAAATATGAATATTTTGTTTGTCAAGGCTATGGCATAATTAGGCAAATTTATATTTAGCAGAGAAACTCAAAACAGTATAAAGTTACACAAAATTTTAATTTGAAACCATAGTTTAAATTTCTGAAGTACTGTGTTTTCTATATACTGTATACGATATTTTTATTTTTCCTCTGCCACATAGAATGTTTATCTGAAGATACTGTAGTATAATTTGTTGGCTGTTTAAAAATTATATTTTATAGGTCAAAAGAATATACAAATAGGTGCAATATTCATTGGAAAATTAAAGATCATACAATTTTAATAATACTGTACATAATACATTTATTTTATGTTTGTCTTATTCTCATTTGCACTTTATTTTCATTACGAAGTGCAGGCAATGGTAGCAATACTTTTGACGCTTTATCACTTATTTTGTCTCGCTTAGTTGCAAGTTCTGTTTTTAGGTTTTATGTCTCTTGTGTCTAGTCACGTCTGGCTGTTTTACAAACATATTGGTAATCAGATGCAACCCTTCAAGGAAAATCCTCCCTGGCCATAGTGAAGGAACTCTTGGTCCAAAAAACTGGATTCTTTCCTTCCTTGGATTGAATCTAATTACTAACGACCCCTCTGTCTCCTTTTTGGCATTATTAGTGATGAGATTGTTTCCTTTTGTGAAGTCCAGCTCCTAGATAGAGGGAAAAAAAAAAAAAGGAATTACAATCAGCCCTGGTCTTTTGTGACTTCTCTTGGTAGCACTGAGGTGGTCACTCCACCTGATAGAAATTGGACTATCTCAGGGTGTCAGGTGACCTTCTGATGAGAAGCCCTGCCATCTGGCAGGGCTTCTGATGGCAGAAGTACTACTGGAGGTCTGTGGATCCAGGGTTAGTGACTGAAGGTGCATGAATTGGCATTCTGGCTCACCTACTGCCTTTGTTGTGCACCAGGGAGGGTAAGAGGTGGTTTCCAGGAAACAACAGCACTAACTGTCACAGTAGAGGTGACCAAGGTTCAAGGTGGATATGTGGTTTTCATTCTCAGAGCTTACCCCTACCCCTTCAGTTTTTACCACAGGATCAACGAGATAATGGCTACATCTTCTATATCCCAAGTGACTGCAACACCCTTTATTAACCCCAGCACAGCCTTAGGACCCTTCATAAGAACCCAGAATTGCTTTTGGGCAACCATTTGTTGTCTGAACCTGATGCCAACATTCTGCCTACACTCTGGTACTTCTGACCCCTCACCATGTCCATGAACACAGATTCTACAATGCAGTGATGATTGTTGGATTATTCACATGAGGACAGATGGACTCATAGCTTGAAAGACCTCAGTGTATAATAGACATTACTGCTGATAGTGTATCTCACATACCTTCTTGCTCACATTCTAAGCAACATGTCCACTGGAAACCTCTTTCCCTACAGGAAGTACGGTATTTAGAAAAACTATACAAAATTTTCTTCCTCCAGCCAATAAACCCAAAGGATTATCTTTCAGCCATCATATTAGCAAGGAACTCATGACCTCCATTGACCAAAACTTATCCTTCCATATCCTATGGAGTGAGGTGTGTATTGTCATCCTTAATATCAGCTGTAGAACTGTCCTTGTCCCACACTATAATACAAGAATAATTTACCCAATGCAGTCTAGACATTTACAAGCAACTTGGGCTACAAAGTTGAAACGTCCGTCCAGCCAACAGATTAGACTATCAGAGCAATTGTAGCCAAACCAACCTTCGATAACAGGACCTCACATCTTAGGTCTTCGTTGTGAGACAGTGCTTAGAAGTAAGGGAGCTCCAGCCAACACCCCCAACACTTAAGTTACCCAGGCAAAATATTGCAGGTGACTGGCAGAATATCTAGTCTGTGGAGAAGCTGATCATAATCCATTTTATGACCAATCTCTTACTTTTCTTTACTGCAGTAAAACATAGGCTGCACACTCCTGTTAGTGCCCCACTTTCTTCTGAAAAAAGCAACACAAAATATGGAGGTGATCCAGTATTGTCTCTAAAGGAAATTACCACTGGTATTATACTCCAGATCTGCTCAACACATCTTTTTTTTTAACCCTTTGCCATCTTCCGTATATCTCTACCTGGTCTTTTTTTTTTTTTTTTTTTTTTTTTTGCTGTTCCTTTCACATTTGTACCACAACCTCAAAAACTTGAAAAAAAAAAAAAAAAGTTTCCAAAACCCTATATCAACCTGTTATTCTATCTTAGTACTGTATGTACTTGCCTTTTCCTTGCACTTTACCTTGTCGATTGACACATCTGTGACATTTGCAGAAATATATTCACCCTTACATTTAATTTTATTTTATTCATGGGGAAGTGCTCAACATGTAGGGTTATACAGAACCTCTCGCCAGCATCAAGGTTCTTCCCTCGGGAGGATTCACCCCAACATACTGCCACTATTCCTTTTGTTACCCTACACAGACCTCTCCCATTTCAGGAGTCAACTAACCTCTCACAATCTCTTCCTATCTTGACAGCTGTCAATGTTTCTTACCTCTCTGCTCTGTTTGCCTATTCACTTCATGCATTACGCTACCTAACTACAAAAACCACATAGCAGTTGGAATTCCTGTCTCTTACTATGTACTTTTGCGATCACCCCTTTTCCTAATGAGACATGATGTGATAGTACACTTTTCATGTGCACTGATATTCTCAAATTTCCATTCATATTCTGCTACTGCAGCCCATGTTTGTTCAGACAAGTGGTATGTGCCTCTTAGTGTCTTGAATGTGAAATCTCTAAATTCTTATTTACACCACTCCTTTTATTGGGTGATTTTTAACTCATCATTTACTCTAGCACTCTTTTCTCAACCCTCTACATATGCATACCTTAAACACTGGTGTTCTTAAACATCCAGATTCCTGCATCCATTCTCTCTCTCCTACCTAGATATCTCTATCTGCTCTTGTTCCATAGCACTCATTTTTACAGTTGAATTATACAGTGGACCCCCGCATAACGATCACCTCCGAATGCGACCAATTATGTAAGTGCGTTTGTACGTGTATGTTTGGGGGTCTGAAATGGACTAATCTACTTCACAATATTCCTTATGGGAACAAATTCGGTCAGTACTGGCACCTGAACATATTTCTGGAGTGAAAAAATATCGTTAACCGGGGGTCCACTGTATACCATTCTCATTGCAATTATCCGTATTGCATCTATGCCTACTTCAAAATTTGTAATCATCTCAGACTCCTTTAGTGCTTTGCAAGCTATTAAAAATTTGATTCACCCCATCACCTATTTCTTTGTATACAACTTCGGTTATGCCACATTACTAGCAAAAATAAAGAAATAGGTTTCTGTTGGGTCCCTGGTCATGTTGATGTTCAGGGCACCGAGCAGGCAGACTGCTGCATGATCTTCAGTACATTACCTACCAATTTCATATAGAGGTATTCCATTCTCTGACTGTTTTGCTGTAATCTCTACCCACCTTCGCAACCATTGGCAACAACGTTGGGCTGATATGACTCTAACAAATTACATTCTATCAAACCAAGTTTGGGTTTCTGGCCTCCTCCTAGTCATCGATACCGAGGTTGGGAGACAACGCTATCTTGTCTTTGCATAAGACACACTTGTCTAACTCGTGGGTATCTTATGGAGAGGATCCTATTCCACTTTGTGAGAACTCTCTAGTTCCTGTTTCAATTTTCCATATTCTATTGGACTGTCCTGTCTGTCAACAAGCATGCAAAATTTTCTTCCTACATCATCACCGCTCTAACGCCCTTACTTTATTTTCCCTCCTTGCTGACAGACCCACCTTTGACACACACTCCCTCTTTGACTTTTTGACAGCAACTGATTACACAAACTTTGATAATCCTTCCTTTAGCACTCCTCACAGCCCCTCCTAACTTTTACCTTTATTGTCATCTCCACCCTTATTTATCTTTAGATCCTGCATCAATTCCTACCCTGCAGTGCGGTTTGACCCTGGTAGGTTTAGCACTTTCTTTTGATTATAATATTAATCCATAGCACTCAGATTTGATTGGCCTGTAGTAAATGATGTCTACAACCTATCATTTCCCTTTTCTCATTACTTCCTATTTTTACACCAAACCTCCATCAATTCCAGTTGTAGTTTGAGCACTTTATACACACCATACCTGTTTTCTTGGTTTTCCTCCTGATTGATTCTTTACAGCTAAGTTGTTCCAAATCTTACCTCTGCTCTCTGCAGCAACACTTGCAATCTCAGTTCTCTGCAGCAACACTTGCAATTCCAGACTTTGGGTAAAGATTAGAAAAAAATGCCCTTTGGTGGTCTCCTGACTGTGCTCACACAGTTCATTTGAAATGTGCTACATGTAGCCACTACCATTACATCCAAATTATAGACCAGTTCCTAACTTACAAACAGGTGAAAGCACATACACTGTGTTCTTTGGGTAGCTAATGCTGTATAGCCCTTGTGGCTTAGCGCTTCTTTTTGATGATGATAATAATAATTTGGGTAGCTAAATGAACTTGCTGATGAGTATGTGTCCACTATGTGTGCAGTCTGGAAAAATTATGAAAGTTAGCAGGCAAATACTCTTAAGACCCGGTCTCTGTTCATACACTTGCTGGTGAAAACATTGTGGACCCTCATAAATTATTATAATAAAAAAGAAGCACTAAACCAAGGACCCTCGTAAAGTTGCCAGCCAACAGCAGCTGGCTTTCGTGACTTTACACCTTTACAATTTTATTTGGTCTGAAGGGGTTTTATATATCTAGTGGAAAACTGAGGTAGTGCTACCTTTTTGAAAGCCAGATACCTCAGTCCAAAACAGTTCTCATTCTGCTTTCCCCATGGAATGAATCTGAATGTCTTCCAGTTCCTTTGCGCTGTATAGCCCTTGTGGCTTAGTGCTTCTTTTTGATTATAATAATAATAATTCCAGTCCCTTTGGCGCTGTATGACTCTACAGTTTAATGATCCCCATAAATAAATATTTCTTATTATAGACCAGTCACCTAGGCAGGGTAGCCCAAAAAGAAAAAAAAAAGTTTCTCTTAACTTCAGTAATGTATACAGGAGAAGGGGTTACTAGCCCCTTGCTCCTAGCATTTTAGTCACCTCTTATAACACACATGGCTTAAGGAAGAATAATTCTGTTCCACTTCCCCATGGAGACCAGTCTCTCATACCAGCAGGAGACTGTGCTCTCCCGTCTCTGCATTGGCCATACTCGCCTTTCCCATGGGTATCTAATGGAACGACACCCTCTTCCTGTGAGGTTTGTTGGGTCTCTCTTTTGGTTCTTCACTTTCTTGTAGATTGCCCGGTTTACCAGCGAGCTCGCAGGATTTACCTCTGCTGCCGCCACCACCCTACCACTTCTACCTTGCCTATCTTCTTGCAGATGGCCCTACTTTTGACTTACAATTACTTTTTGACTTTTTGTCAGCAACTGCTTTACTTTATGAGCTGTATAATCCTCCGGGTTTAGCGCTTCCCCCTTGATTATAATAATAATTTACTTTATGAACTTTGACACATAGTTCTTAGCATCCCTTCTACCCCTTTTCTCCTCACCTCTGATTCCCACTCCACCTAGCTGTTTATAGCCCCAGCAATATTTTCTACCCTGCAGTGGTGTATGACCCTTTTTGATTTAGCACTTTCTTTGATTATAATTGGTTTAGCACTTCTTTTTGATTATAACAATAATAATAATTTGATTATAATAATAATATTAACTTACCAGCACTATTTGTAAGTTGCTGAAATGCTTGGTACTTAAACCCCAAAATGTGCTTTCCTCATCAATTTGGTTTTAGAAAGGGCCATTCTGTCATTGACCCCTTAACCTGCATTTGCTGATAACTAGTCAGTTATTGGTCTTTTTCAATCTAGAAGTTTATGACACTACTTGTAATATATTGCCTCAGAGGCAATCTACCACTTTTCCTTAAAGATTTCTTATCAGAGGCATTTCAGTGTTATGAGAAAATATGTAACTGCATTTTCCCCCTAGCTTTGTGCAAGTTGAAAGTGTACTGCAAGGCTGTTTTCTTATCACTACCTTATTTCTTCTTGTTAATGAACTTGCCTATATTCAAGTATCTGATCATTCCTCTGTGTAGAGGTTTTACTATTGCCTTTGCAAGCACAGAATGTCAACTCACAGCCACCTCTCCAGGACACTATTGACTGCATTGCTATCTATGTCACCAATGGTTTTAAATTAAGTTTTCTGTTGCTAAGACAAACTGGATAATTTTCACCTGACACTTTGTTATCCCTCATTCCATTCTGTAGCTACATGTTTCTCTTATCCCTGAATGAGATGACAGATTTCTTGACCTCTTTGTCAAAAATCATGTTAGTCTCTTACTACCTTTCTAAAAACTGCCTGTCATGTCTGTTGAACCTGCTTAAAACTTTAGCTCATTTTTCCTGGGGAGCTAATAGATAACCTTTTCTTGCCTGCATTCAGCCCTAATCTTATCTATGCTGGACTACAGACACCAATTGTATTCCTAAGCTTCCTTTGCTGCTATTTTCTAAACTTGATCACATTCATCATGGTTTATGTTTGTTTAGGGCTTTCAGGGCTTCCCAAAAACATTCAGGGCTTTCTTATCTTCTGCAATCAGGAGCCCCCACATAGAGGCACATGTCCTCTTGCAGAACCATCACATGTCGTGTTTCTGCTATTTAGCCTGCCTTCATGACTTTCACAATCCTTCCACATATAAAACATTTACAGGTGTTAGAAAGATTAATTCATTTAATCTTTGCCCCATTTATGTCCCTTTACCCTCCATATTCTAATAGCATGTCTTAATTTACTTTCCCTTTATTGTATTACTCTTCTTCTGCCTCCCTTGGGAGGTTCTGACTACTCAAGGTGCTCCTTTGCCTTTCTCTGCCCAAGGTTCTCATTCTACTACACACCTGCACTTTTTTGAAACACTTTTATCATATTCTCATGCTATAGACATATACACAGGAGATTTTAAATCCCAAGATGGAGTAGGGTATTCAGCTGTTATTCCAGATAAAGAATAATCTAAGAATATTTATTAGAATCGGCCATCATTTTCACAGAGCTATATTCACTACTCATCAGTATCATACATATTGCAATCATGTTTGCCTTGTCATTCATTGTTATTTCATCCTTTGTATACAGCAATAGTCATATCACTTTTCTAGCAAGCACAGTAGTCATTTTTTTGTTGAGTTTAGACATGCCAACGTTCAGGGCAAAGAACACACACAGTCGCTTGGTCAGCTATTCACAAAGTGACAATCTCCATCAGGAGTGCTCCTTTCTCTGATTGCTTTCCACTACTATTTAACAATATTGAAACAATATTGGTCTGAGTTAGAGCACAAACAAATTGTTTTCACTCAAACCACAGTATAGCCCTTGTGGCTTAGCGCTTCTTTTTGATTATAATAATAATCAAACCACAGTTAGGTTTTTGGACACACGACTTACACAAGGATACCACGTGGAAAAATGCCTGGCACCTCTCTGTAAGAAATACCAGGTTGCACTATCAGTTGACTGTATCTTAATAGACTGTTCTTTCTCAGATGACATATACAGTACACTTCCAACATTTACAGTATTCCAACCTCTGTTGAAAGTCCCACCTTTAATGCAAACTCTCTGACTTTTTTGATGGAAACAAACATGTTGCACCAACTTGACTTTGGGCCTCCCCTCCCCCAGCACACCCCTATTTACAGCACTATATGACCCATACAGGTTTAGTGCATTTTTAATGATATCGGTTGTGCATTACCATAGTCATTGCTTTTTATTGTACTTATTTTGCTGCTACAACTATTTTACTATTCATAATTTGTCCAGTTGCATGCAGCTTTTTCCTATGCAAAACAGTCATATTACAGCAGAGTTACCTATAATATTGTGTTATAAGGTATTTATTTTTTAGAATTACCATCTTCATGAAATTTAACTATGAAAGGGCACTAAATTTCAGACACTTTTGTGATCTGTCGGTCATATTCTCAAGAAATGATGTTTCTTGACAATACATCTGAGAGCTCACAAAAGTGCTTGACTTTAATTCCCTCTCATATTGGCTAAATTGCATATTAAGATACCACTTGTTTTTTAATCTTGTTGTATTACTATCTTAGTGTATTTTTAGCTAGTACATATACAAATGCTTTAAGGATAGTATGCTATTTATTATTCTACATTGCCCTTATAAATTTATTTGAGTATTTGACCTTTCTTTCCAGGAGCTCAAATAAGCCATCCTTCACCTTGTAGTACAAGAAAATCCAGACTGCTTCCTAACTTAGACCGTTCTTGCCCTCAGAAGAATATTGCAAATGCTGTAATTTGATTTATTAATTTTGTTAATTTTTTAAAATAAATCTTGACTAAATTTTTTGTTTTGTAGTACTGCCAAGAAAAATTCTACGTACATATTTTCAACGTTAATTGCATCTACCTTTTCACATAATTTAGGACTAACATATAAACAGCTTATAAAATACACTATTCTGTACTTAGGTCATTATGTCATATGGCATGTATGGTTTTGGAATTTGTTTTCTAATATAATTAGTAGTAATTACAAAATCATACTTTACTGTAGATAATTATTGGAAATCCAGTTATTAAAAAAATACATAATAATGAGTAGCTAAAAACCTAAGTAATGTTGCTGTAATATTCTTCTTAATAACTAACAAGGGTACCTTGATACTGGTGAAGGGCTCTTGCTCCAAATATAGTTACTCTCCCCTTCCTTTGGATCAAACCTGATTACCACCCATCCCTTAGGCACTTTAAGACCCCTACAGGTTTAGTGCTACCTCATGAATATAATAATTTTCTTAAGGACTGCAGATGAATCCATGCAGACTGATCCTAACATTCACATAAATAATTATTGTGCACCTTTGACTGGTCTGAAAAGGCAGGATTTTACAAATTACAATAAACAAGTTATAAGTACAAAATTTTGCTCTTGGAATGCAAAACACATTAAATGGAAGCTTTTCATTTTGTAGAGCAGATTTTTTGAAAGTACGTACACACTTGGTGGTTTTATGAAGTATGTGGTGCTCTATGATAAAGATTTAGCGCTTTCCCACAAATATAATAAGAGATGACTTGAATCTTGGTCAGTCTCCCTACTCCACAGGCATCATGACCAGACTTCCATTATGTAATAAAGTGAGATATGTATATTTTCTATTGAAGTACATTACTGTAAAAGTACGATTTGTATTATAGTGTTTTTGGAGAAGTGAAATGCTTTCAGGTAAACTTAAATATATCTTATGTTTATCCAAAACTATCAGCTAATAGCATGTCAGAATGATATCGTTGACGATTGTTTTGATAAAAATGTACAAATGATAACCTTAACCAATGAGGCAATAAAGGGGTAAAGGAAAAACGTTGATATGCGTATGTACCTACCTTGTTTCATGTTTATAAAAAAATATTTTCACTTGGGTCTTACTAGCTAGGTGCTGTTTAGTTCTTCAACTCCAGATTTTCTATTATGGTATAGTATGTACATAGTTATACAGTACAGGGTATATAACTGTGACAATATACAGTAATCCAAAAAAACAATGGTAGAAACTAGTAATTTTATGCATTGCAGTGTATTTTTGTCTTAGTGTACAGGTTGTCTCATAGGTCTCACCCAGTTTATACAGACAGATGCATGTTGCAGAACAAGCATTTATTGAGATGGAGTAGAAATTTATCTAGTCATGACATGATAAAACTCTATACAGTGCAATGTCTCAGTACCAGCTTGTTCTGCAACTTGTGGCTTTGTCTTCATATCTGTTGGGAATACAAGCACATATACTATATCATTTACGAAGTTTACTTTTTAAATATGCCTTCACCCACTTCATCCTCATCTGGCCACTTCTTGTTACTAAAAATCCAAACATTAGAGACAATGAAACTGCTGCAGCTTTATCGTAGTGCTGTACTGTATTATGTAATGTTTGTAAACTATAATGCAATTATAGATCTTTTATGGAAAATTTTATCCCACCTTAGCTGCAGAATTTGTTTATTTCTCAACTGTCTTACTACACCAATGTGGTCTCCATCCATTCTGCCAATGGCCTTCCTTCAAATACCAACTCACTTCCCTTCCTTTCCATGGCATGCAATGCTGAATGAGTCTTCAGGGTTGACAGCCTACCATGAATGTAATAATACAAAAAATGACTAATCAACAGTTATTTACCACTACCACTGCAAAAATGCTACTGCACTGTTGTAAAAAAAATGGCCAGCAGTAAAGCTACTGTCAATGTTACTATTACCTTATTTTACCCTCATGAGTTTCCTTAATGCCAGTGAGAGGGGCTCTTCATCCCCTACAGGTTTAGTACTCCTTTCTCTCTCCTGATTGTAATAATGCAATGCAGTTTACTAATGCTACGTATTCAAGCTACAGTACTGTACCTTTCATAATGTTTCTGATATGTCTCGTCAACTCTTGTGTTATTCCAAGAAGTTCTGACCCTAGTACGTTTAGCACTTCCTTTTGATTATAATCCAAGAAGTTCTTCCACTTGGATTGCAGCCCCTCTTTATAAAGCCTTTAGACCTGAGATGTGGATAAATAATTTTAAACTCCTCCCCAGTGTAACTGAAAGTATTGGTATATTAGATTATAACAAAATTAGTCAAATAATCCCCATATCAATTGGCTCAAAAAATCTTGTTCTCGACATAATACTATGAGATACAAGTTGTCTGCGTGCATGACTTCCCATTCCAACAAGCTATGAGAGCTGCAGATTGAAGTTAACACCCTTTTACAACTTGCTGCCATTATTTTATTTTATTTTATTAACACATCGGCAGATTCCCACCAAGGCATGGTGGCCTGAAAAAGAAAAACTTAAGAACATAAGAAAGGAGGAGCACTGCAGCAGGCCTGTTAGCCCATACTAGGTAGGTCCTTCACAGTCCATCCCACTTAACAATATTTGCCCAACTCAATTTTCAATTTTACCCAAGGAACAAGCTTTGATAATTCTATTAACTCGAGTGCAAGTCCCACTCAAATCCAACCCCTCTCACTTATGTATTTATCCAACCTAAATTTGAAACTACTCAAGGTCTTAGCCTCAATAACCCTACTAGGTAGACTGTTCCACTCATCAACTACCCTATTTCCAAACCAATACTTTCCTATGTCCTTTCTAAATCTAAACTTGTCTAATTTGAATCCATTATTTCGGGTTCTCTCTTGGAGAGACATCCTCAAGACCTTATTAATATCCCCTTTATTAATACCCATCTTCCACTTGTACACTTCGATCAT